AGAGACAGGCAGATACAGTGAGACAGGTGCGGTGAGACAGGCAGGTGCAGTGAGACAGGTGCGGTGAGACAGGCAGGTGCAGTGAGAAACAGATGCAGAGAGACAGACCTGCTGGAGCTGCTGCTGCTGAGTAGTTTGTCTTTGAGCATCCACTGGACGTACGGCTGCGGGTCACCTGACGCCTGACAGTGAAGCACAGCCGTGTGACCCTGATAGACTGTGGTCTGCTCCGGCTCCAGCTTAAACTCCACGTGAACTGACAAAACACACAGTGAATGAGTCTGAGCGTGTGGAACAAGAACTCATCCTCACCCACAGCGTTCAGATCAGATCAGAACACAAACACACACCTCCTACAGTGAGATGGACGTGCGCTCGTATCTCTCCCTGCACGCTGCTGGACGCCACACACGTGTAGTTCCCTCCATCGGCGCGGGTCACTGTACTGAAGCGCAGAGCCCCGTTCATCTGACTCGCGTGAGACGGGAGATCAGCGCCGTCTGCGGAGACACACGCATGAGAAAGCAGCTCAAACACACCAGACATCAGCGTCATCACTGCAGGAAGCCATGCGGTTTCAATCAGAGCTGGTGATGCCACCGCTGCCAAAACAACTCAAATACGTTGCAAAATATATGCTGCTAACCTTTCCATTAAGTTTTTTAAACGTTTTTTCCTAAATGTTCACTGAACATTTAAAGCATCCATCCAGTATTTTAAATGTTTTAGAAATGTTTTTTCTTGGTTATGCGCACGATAAGGGAACATTCCATTTTGCAAAATTTATGGGAACGTTACTTTTGAATTTTCTCGGAGAGTTCCGAAAAAGTAGCAACATTTAAAGAAAAAAAAACATTAGACGAATATCCAACTAAAACATTTCTGAAAAGAAAAACTTTCCATGAACAATGTAGAAACAATGTTTCGGTTCTATCACTTTGAGAACATTATTAAAGACCAGAGAACAAACAAAAGTGACCAGTGCTGGCTAAATAAGTCACAATAAGCAAATTTTCAAAACAAAATTATTTTATATTAAATGATATTTGAGTTGTTGGAATCAGACAAAAAAAGGACTGCTCTACAGCTCTTTGAAGTCGAGAGCGTCGAGAAAGTCAATTTTTTAGAAAAATCGAGTTAAAGATTTCTGAAGGCTCCAAAGCAAAATCACTGAGCAACATTGTATCTTTTCCTCCAATTCTTTTCTTAATAATCATCACTATATTAAATAATCAGCTTCACCCCAGGCAGCTATTCCTTTTGAGATGCTTCTTTTTTAATAACACTGCTGCATCATAATCATAATCTAACAGTGTTCTAATCATGTGTTCATAGGCAGGTTTTCATGTCATATTTTTATCTTTAACATTCGTTTTCATAACAGTCTTCAGATATTTTCATTATCTCCATTACGACCATGCCCCGCCCCGCGATATTGTCCTATCCTAACAAGCCATACATCAATGGAAAGATTAGTTATGTATAAATGTATAATGTATAAATCTCAATTTCAGAAAAGTGACTCTTATGACTGGTTTTGTGGTCCAGGGTCACATCACAGGAGAGCTGGTTTGAACATCAGTGATCAGATCTGTGGTGAGGGTCTCTGACCTGCTCTGCTCCAGTGCATGATGGGCGTCTCTCGTGCTTTAGCCACACAGCTCACGCTGCTCTCTCGGTCCAGCTGCAGACACTGCGACGGCTGCGGGACGGGAGTGAACTTCAGCTTCTCTGAGAGACACACACATGAGCGACAGGTCAGCAGAGCGATGGTGTAACTGCACTTAAACCACCTGCACAACAAACACTATTATTACAGATACATCAGAGCAGATGCTGCTTTAATGATCTCTACCCCAGAGGTTTAGCACTGAGACGCTATTGTAGTTTCAGGTTTCAATTGTTTTTGTTCTTGTTTATTTTCATTTCTGTTCAAGTTTCAGTCATTTTGTTGTGTGTTTCAGTCATATTTATTAGTTTTTTTGCCTTTAGTTTTTATGTTTTTTATATAGTTTGTACCAATTTTTATTTCAGTTTAAGTTATTTTAGTACAAGTTAAACCACATGAAAACAAGAAATGTTGCCTTGGCAAATAGCTGAAATAAAATAAGTTATATTTGCGTTTAAAAAAAAGTAAATTTGAATAATACAATTATTTTTTTAAACCATTGTAAACATTTTATTTAACTCTACCAGCGGTTCTAAATTTGCACAGTTGCTTTTTGTTTTATATTACTGTTCCGAGAAGAAACTTTAATAAAAATTAGTTAACAAAAAATATATATATAATATAATTATAAATAACTAAACTATAAATGATTAAAAAAACTATAACAGCCCTGCTCTCACACAAACCTCTATGCACTTTCATTAAAGCATTATGTATTACTTTATTTAGTAAGTTACCCTGCCTCACACACGCTCTCACCCAGTATGTGAATCCGCGCGTGTGCGCTGAGCGATCCGGCCTGCGTCACACACACACAGCTGTACGTCTGAG